TGTCAGGAGGACTGTAATTATTTATTGTCTTTTCTCTTACTTACCGAGGACAACATTTATTCTACTGGAACTATATTAAAGGAAAGGATTAAAACAACGAAGACTGACGGTCATTAGAGCCAAAAAGGAATGTTTGACAGAGCACAGCTGTCAGTCTGAACAGCCTCTCTCCCTTCTTCGGCCCTGCTGAGGAATTCGATTGTGGATTCCTCTGGAATCCCTGCATCAAAACACAAGGAGAGCCGAGAGGCCGTACCCAGACTTATGTCACAGACAGCTAGCGCAAGAACTTGCAGTCGATCCAAAAACAACACGAGAATAAGATGATAGAAATGCTGTGGCAGAGAGAAGATAACACGGTTGGGACCGTTTTCAACCTCACTGCAGTCTACTACAAACAAAGCAGGCCAGACGATAAGTATTTGGGCCGTTTCATACTGTTTTTGTTTGAAGTCTCAGAACATCTGAAAGAAATATTCTGAGTCAGAGAGTAAGAACGTTATTAATCCAAATGGACAATTCTAAATTATTCATATGACATCAATAGCATTAATTAAACACAATATGAGTTTATCACATACAGCTATTGAATAAGTTTTTATTAAATGTTAGATTATGAAACAGTAACGTTTTATCAGATCTTTGATTTAATCCCATCACGGCATGATAATAAAAAGGACGAGACCTCCAGACAAGAGGAGGGAAGTCATCTGCCTGGACCAGATTATTATGAATATACATTTGTTAAAGCAGAACAAAATGGGTAAAAGACAAGTGTTTTACGGATTTGTCCACATGAAAATACAGAATTTCCTAAACATTTTTTTGTTTGTTTTGTCATTTCCAAAGAAATAGCATAATTTCAAACAATCAACATTTTTTTATCCAGACTCTTGAATTTTAAAATGCTTTAGTATGTTTACGTCAATATACGTGACGTTGGTTTCACTTGAAATATTTTCCAAGTTCTTTCAACGTAAATTTGTTTTGAAATTTAACTTCTAAAAGTTTTATTGCAACAGTAACAAGCTTCGGTCTCTTGGTTTGTGGGTCAGGATCGTTTCAGAGCCACTGCTGCAGACAGAAGGGCGAACAAACGTCAACGTTGTCCCAGTTTCCATTTATTTTACACGTTGAGTTCAAACTGGCGACCCTGGACCCACCTGCAGTCAGGTCCAGACTAAATTCTGGCTACGCCACTGGATTAGACGTGTGGCTGTGACATTATTATTTTTTCCAAAGGTGTTTTAGCAGTTCACACAAAATAAAGTGAGGTTTTCACTCTTAAAATATAGTTTTGGAGCTCCGATAACAACAACGCCATGTAGACACAAAGATGAAAAGAAACAAAACTCTGAATACAGTTTTCACAAAAAAACGCTTGTGTGTGGACGGCCCTTTAGAGCCTAGCCTTAGCATTCACAGGCCTAGAAGGATACATAACCCTCCCTCTGAGTGCTGGGTCTGCCCTGTGGGTTTCTCCATGTGGACAATAATCGGAAAACTCCTGAGGAGAGCCAAAAAAGGAGGTCTCCTGATCAGATACCTGCACAAACTCAATCAGCTCTTAATCATGGAGGAGCACTACAAACTCCTCATGGTAACTCTGAGGCTGGGACCAGATGTCCTTGAAAGGGAAACCTTATTCAACTGCCTGTTCTTAGAGTTTTGTTGGTTCATTGCACAAATCTTCTACATCTCAAAACCATAGGTGAGGACTGGAACAAATATGGCCCAGTAAACTACAACTGAGGCTTTCTTTCTCAGAAAATGTTTTATTCGCCTTAAGTCTCCAGGCATTGAGCGCAGGCTTGGTTGGGGACTGGCGTGCATCGAATAGAAATTATTTGTAGCGCTGACATTGCAGCAGCGTTATGTTGTCTTGTCCAAACATGGCTGAGTTAAAACAGTGCAATCCATTCTGTGCAGCACATTGGAATGAAAAGCAGGTTTCCTTGGCTGGTCTGAGAGGACCACGAACTGAAAAGCAGCAATAAACCAGCACCAACAACCAAGTTACAAAGCAGCTCTTCTTTTCCAAAGTTTAACTTTAAAACATTTGACTTTTTTTTTGTTCTTCATTTCCTTTACAACCTCTTTGCAAAGATCTATACACCTCTTGAACTAAAAACGGTTTCCCACGCTGCAGCAGGCACACAGAGTGATGTCACGTTTACCGCAACGATCAGAATACCAGCGTCCTAAATATGACCCCTGCAGACTGCCACAACGTTCAAAGAGCTGCAGAGAGCAAGAAGACGCATTGCAGCAGCTGACGGCAACAAGAGGAAATGTGTCGCTTCTAACGTAATCAGGCTAATACAATGTCATTTCAAAGATGCGTCATGGGATCTGGAGCATTTTTATGTCTGGGCTTGTGTCAAAAACAGAAAAAGTTTAAAGCTGGTTTATTGATAAGATGCTTAACCACCCCTTCCCAGTTAGATTATATTTGTAAAGATATGCTTGGAAGAGCTTCAATCCATCTTTTAAAATAAATTTTAAAAAAGCACCAGCATTCCTGAACTGAAGAAGCTGCCGCCCAACAAACTGATTGACCGATGTCAGCTGTTATGAAGCAGTTTTCGAGGTTAGTCCAAGCCACACGTCTGTTCTACCCTCCATGACACTTTGGTCCTGCATGCAGATTCAACAGGACGATATCATCCTCTCAGTAACGCAGCTCACCATTCAGCAAAAACCTCCCTTCAAAACCCATGTGTGCACTTGCCAGTCTGATGTAGAACTACGTTCAAGATAAAGAGATAAATGCAGATCATTTCACCTATTTTGCTTTGAATTCTCACATCAAAGTTTAAACTCAGCCACACTCTGCAGGGCCAGGCATGTCAAAAGTGTAACTACCTTGAACCATATCAATAGATTATACAACCTCATACACAACAAGTAACACTTTAGCTCCACTTGTCCATTCCTTGTATAACCATTCATGCATTTTCTTTAGGTTTCTCCGTTCAGGGGTCCATCTACAGGGGTCATCATTTGGTTCAGCGCTTCTAAAACCCAAAGCTGCAGCAGCAGAGATCTGTGATCATTTCTCATAGTTCTTCACAGGATGTGACTGCCACCTTCTCAGACTTTGAAGACGACAGCAGAGGACCTCTCTCATAGAAAAAAAACAGAAACAACAAATGGGGAATGTTGAGTTTGAGGAACTTGTGAGCGCAAGATTTAAACGCAACAAAAACTGAAGGATGGGGTTCATATTGTAAATGGTTTTGAACGGTAACAATTTGGGTTGTGATCTAAATAGAAAGGTTTTCTATTCCAAATGTGTATGAGTGCATTTGTTCATAAACAAAGGTTTACTGTAGATGTAGAACAGACAAAAAATAAATGCAGTCCTTGAGGTCCTCACATAAAAACCTACATAAATAAAAAGCTAATTTCTTATGAATATATTGACGGCAGTTAACACATTAAAAGTTATTTTCAGCTGAGAGAACCATTTATGTTTTGAGCTAAACTGGGCCTAAACTTGTCTTTACCAAATTAGTAAGTTAGTGGTTGTGTTGGCAAAACCCAATAAAGAATTAAGGCTTAAAAATACAAATAAATTTTTTAAAAAAAAGGAAACTAAATTGTTTTTACGCTCACTTGTAAACTTATTGTCACAGGTATTTGTTCTATAGACAGTATCTTAGATGAATATATGCCAGCACAGCAGTGTTCACACACCTGCTAACTACAATAAAACATTGTTTTTGCACGTGTCTGTGCTCGTTTGTTGTGTTGTGTTAGCAACAACATAAAACTGGCTATAACTCAAATAAATGTGCAGATCTTGAGCTAAAATTTCGTGAGGTAGTAGCAAAGACCAGTCCCCAACTTTAAGAGCTAATTTATGGTTGCACAAGTCACAATTAAAAAAAACTTTGCCTCTTCCTAATAATTCACCTGTTTGCAAAATATCTCAATAACGACATGAAGCTTTTTATTGAAACTCTTAGAAAGTCATCGCTCCATCTACAAATGATTAACTTCAAGAGTCAGACCTCTGTCAAAGCCAGCTGATCTCGGGGAAACACCAAAATGGATACATCTGTTAACTTTTGAGATTTCGTGTTAAAATTTGGTGTGGCGGTTGCTGGGAGTCATGCACAGCACATACACTGAGCGTTGACAGATCTTGCATACGGCGATATAATTTACAAGTTTGCACATCTGCTATTATTTATTTTACATCACATTTGCTCTTCAATTCTCTCAAATGATAGGGGACAAAAATGTGTTTCCATAACTCCAGACAGGACAGGATGTAAAGCACTTTTACGCCCTGCATAACAGTTTATCCCAGATTGAGATTGTGGCGTATTAAGCATCTAATTACTTCAAAGTGAATATCTCTTTGCGAATTCCTTCAGACTTGTTGCGCTGGAAGAATCCAGAGCCGCAGGCCACATTTCTGTCGTGCTGAGCCTGGTACAACACGCCCAGCTCTGCTCGGAGAGCTCACAACAATGAGCTGAACTTGTGCTGCAGGTCATAAAAGGAGCAGTCAACGAAAGGGGCGGGCTCACAACAAGACCCTCTGTAGAATACGGAACTCTCAGTCAGTAATTAAAACACACGAAGAAGAAGATAAAAACGTAATTAAAACACACGAAGAAGAAGAGAAAAACGGCGACATGCTAACTCTTCTGCTGAGCTAAACTCATAAAGTCTCACAAAAGGCAGAACATTCAGCTCCCTCTGTGTGTGATGGTGGTGGGGGGGGGGAAAAAGGGGGGGGCTTGTAGTCTATGTGGCGCGTGTGACGAAGGAGACGTTTCCTCTTGTGTAATCTTATCCTCCTGTCGGTATCAAACACCAACCGTTCTGCTCGTAAGTTAGCGGAAACAACGTCCTCGCGACTTTGCCACATTGTTAAGCTAACCTACACTGGTGACGTCAGAGCCTTCTTCTTGCAGCAAATCTTGAAACTTCTTTTTTTTTTTTTTTTTCAAAAAGTTACCAAAAAAAAAGCGTTTTCCACTGACCTGTGTGCGCCTCGGTCCAGTCCCGTCGACGGCTCCCCCTTCGAAAGATGAAACCAGAGTTGTTTCCAGTGGTTCTCCAAAAAGAAGAAATAGTTTTTAAAACCAGGCCAAAAGTGACTTTTCCCCCTCCCTATCCGCTGTGAGCCGTGCTGCTGCTGTAAACTCCACCCCGGCCGGGGAGCGACGTACAGCGGGGCGGCGTCGCACTCGCTCGGC